GTATCATGTTTTGGGACATGTTGGTATAATTGGTTAAGGTCCCGAGGGCCTCGGGTGGATTTCGAAAGGTTAACAGAATGAATTTCGGACCAAAGAGTTGCTGAAATTTTCTGCAGAATGCTGTTTTGACAACAACTAGTGCAATCGCGGAGCTGAATTTGGAAGCTTATATCTCGAAATCTATAAGGAATCTGAAAATTTGCAAAACATAAAGTTGTTGCCCTTGCATTCTAGTTTTCAGAAAGTTAAATCATTCATGATTTGGACATTTTATCAGAAAGTTATAATCGATTGAAGATGGCTGGTGGAGCAGTTTCGACAGAAATTTCTGATGCATGGAGCCGACTTTAGAAGCTCATATCTCGGAATATATAAAGATTTATATGGTGTGCAACCTATCAAATGAAGATATTCGGGTCTAGTTTCTAAATCTTCAAACCGTTTGTCATTTGGATATTTTCACAAGGAGTTATTGGCGTTTTAACAGAAGGTGTACAGCAGGGAAAAAATGTAATAGGATGTACAACCTGCACAGCGCAAGGTACAACTCGATGAAGCCTGGGCAGATTGTTTTAAACACGAGTTTTGGCCCATTTCTTTCATTTGGCTTGGACGATTTTGGAGAGCTCAAGGAGGGATTTTCACCAAGCAACATTAGGTAAGTGATTTCTTCCTATTTTTTTGAGTTAAATATGTGATCTTACATAGATTTAGACATGGAAAATTAGTATAAATTTGGGATTTTTGGGGAAGACCTAGAATTTGGAATTTCGGACTTTTACCTTGAATTTGAGCATGAAAATTAGAGCAAATTGTATATTTGAGTTAATAAAGCTATGGGTAGAATTTATCTTCGAGAAATTTCGGAACCGGGCATGTGGGCCCGAGGGCATTTTGGTCAACTTTTCGAGCGGAGTTGGGAACTTATATAATTTGAATTATTACAAGTATTAGAGTGAATTTTTATTGGTTTGCCTGTTGTTTGAATAGTTTTGGGGCGTTGTGCATCAATTGGAGTCGTTGGAAAGGCTTGGAAGCCGGTTATGGAAATTTCAGAGCGAGGTGAGTCTCCTTTCTAACCTTGTAAGAGGGAATTGTCCCCATAGGTGAGTTAATTGGATATGTGCTGCTATTTGCGGGGGCTACGTATGCACGAGGTGACGAGAGTCCGTGTATAACTACTATTATGTTTATGTCTGGGTAGTCTAGGACCCAAAAGCATGCTTTACTTGTAATACTTGTAACCTTATTGTTAGTTTAAATTGCTTAAATCATATCGAAGTGGCAAATGACTTTCTAAAAGAGTTAAACTTCATTTTCTTGACTTGTAAAAGAGAAATTTACACCTCCTTGAATAATAGTCTTGATTGACTGTTAAAAATATGTGTTTCTGTGTGTACCTGCGTCGCATGTATGATTCGCGAGCAGGGTGATTGTTTATTATTATTTGACCGTATCGCACGTATGATTCGCGAGCAGGGTAATAGATGCATCTATGGTTCGCGCCATTCGACCCTCTGGCATTGCGCAGTTTAAATATTGTTGGATCGGGCCGTACGTCCTCGGCATGAATTGCGCATGCTTGTATTGCTTGCCTTGAACTTTATTGAAGTTGATATTGCTTCTTCCCGACTTGAGAATATATGTATAATTGATAAAAAAGGAAATTAGAAATTTTCATAATAAAGAAGGAATTGTTTACTTGCTTCACTCTATTGAATTACATTCATGTTCATGTAAACCCTCGACTTGTTATATTACTAATGTATCATCATTGGACCATTAGTAAGTGTCGAAGTCGACCTCTCGTCTCAACTTCTTCGAGATTAGGCGGGATACTTACCGAGTACACGTTGTTTTCGTACTCTTACTACACTTGCTGTGCATTTTGTTGCACAGGTTCAGGTGTGGCTAGCGGCTTAGTGGCATAGCGGCATGGTTGGTACGGAGACTTAGGTGAGCTGCATTTATCGAGACGGCCCGCAGCCCGCAGAGTCTCCTTCAGAGTATTGTGCTGTATTTTCATTTCTATCCACCTTGTATTCCGGACAGTTACTGTATTTTATTTTACTCCCTAGTAACTGATCATGCACTTGTGACACCGAGTTCTGGGATGATTATGGGGTATTTTGTATTGATATGTTGACTTTCATATTTAATTTGAAATGAGTATCTTTTACTAGTAAAATTGAAGGAAAATCAGAGTTTTCACAATTAGTTAACTAAGCATTTAATTAAGTATTTATGGTTGGCTTGCCCGACACCGGTGTCTGGCGCCATCACGACCCATAGTGGATTTTGGGCCGTGACAAGTTTATTAGGTATTTTTGTATAGAATTTAGTATTTTTTTAATGGGCGTGCCAAAAGCAAATTAGTCATTTATTGTGGACCGGAGGGAGTACACTTTATATATTATTTTTTAAGAGGCGTGCAAAGTCAATAGTGGACAAGTGAAAGTTAACGGTAGGGGTGTTCATGATTCGGTGTGGATCGGTTTTTCCCTTAAAAGCAAACCAAGTAAGTCGGTTTTTCAAATATTAGAACCAAACCAAACCAATTAAGTCAGTTTTATCTTGATTCGGTTTATGTCGATTTTTCGGGTTTTCGGTTATTTGTCGGTTTTTTCTTAAATATAAGACATACACTATCAAACACATATTCCAGCGATCACATTTTCAGCGTAACACTATCAAATCAATTGCCTTTTGAGAAATCTATTATTTACCAAGATATATTGATGATAATTGAATCGAATAGTAATGAATATTTAAGGACTCAATTAAAAATATATTATTTTTAACACGAAATGGATCTTACACTTAACAAAAGAAAACTACCAATCAAACTAGAATGTAAAGGTAAAGAACTATACTAAAAGTGCAAACTATTAACATTTACCATTAAATTTTTGAAACTTTGTATTAAAATATACATATATATAGGTGTAATAATAAATTTGAAATAGCTACTCGTATAGTCGGTTTGGTTCGTTTTTTTTTCCGATTTTTTTTATTAAAACCAAAACCAAACCAAATTTGATCGTTTTTTAAAAATCAAAACCAAAACCAAACCAAACCAAAAGGTATCAATTTTTTTGGTCGGTCTGGTTTGATTTTCGGTTTGGTTCGATTTTTCGGGTTTTTATGAACACCTCCAATTAACGGAGGAAGTATTTCCCTATGGGTTACGTGTTTTTTTGCTTTTCCTGCAAGTGATTAGGTTCACTTAATCCAATCAGAATAGGTAAAGGAGTAATTATTTCATGCAAAATTAAAACAAGCCTGAAAGTGTCAGATATGCCATCATCAAGCACACGTGTTAAAAGTAAGGAAAACATGCAAAAAATTGTCCTCCTAAAATCACATCAGTGCAGTCAACAAAAGTATACCAAAACCCAATAAAAAAGTCATAAAAGATAGGCAGACTCATTGATTAGATCAGTTAAAAACCTTTTCTTTGTTTTGTCTGTTAGGCAAAAACTACATTAGTAGTACTTCATCTAGTAAACATCATTCAAACAAAATAGACATCCTTTTGATTATTTTGATACCCATATATAGTTCCTTTTATCATATTTCTTGCTCATATTATCGGTTCCCTGCTCGAATAAAATAGGAATGTTACGATAGGCTGACAATCTGCATAAAATTTATTAATTCATAATAAAATCTCATAATTTCTAATTTTTCTATTTTTATTATATAGAAAAGGAAAGATGGTTGATCAAGGGTATATATGTCATTTCATAAAAATTTCATGTTTGTATTTCTTAAATACAAAATACACGTGGACCCCACGTTCCTCTAGCCACAACTCTCCTTTAAATGCACTATGCATGTGGTATTAAACTGTTTGTGCAATGCATGCTCATTTCCAATCTTTTTCTCATTTTGGAAAATTATTAATTTTATTTTATTCAAATAGAAGTTTTCATAGAGAAAATAAAATTAATTTTTAAATAATACAACAACCAAAAGAAGTATCGATATTTACAAGATTTTCATATTTACCCATACTATCTTGAAGCAATTAGAAAATAAAAAGTAAATGATTTTCATCTATTCATACTATTGGAAGACGATTTCAAATTAAATATTTTTATATTCAAAAGTAATTTTATAAAATATAGCTTGTTAAACCTCAAAAATTAATTAACTAAACACCAACAAATAATAATTTTAATAAAATTGCAATGTTGGGCCCGTATACGGCCTTTCCTCATCTAGTATTAATTATAAGTATATAGCTTGTGCATATTTCAACTATTTTATCAAGCAATATATGTTGTCTCGCACTAGTAATCAAGTAGTAGTAACTAAGAAAAAGACCTCCTTTGAGTTATTTTGGAACCCATCTATATACACTTCTATTATAACTAAGACAACTAGGCCTCTTAACCTACTTCCTTCACTACTTTAAATTTTTTCTTTTATAAGAGTGTGTCTACATTTGCTTGCGTACACCTCAATTATATTGTTTTATATATATTCATTATTTTTTAATAGTACAAATAAATAAATAATTCCACTTACCAAAACTTAAGAATTACATAAATAAATAACTTCGTCTATCAAAACGTAGGACCCATTTGGACATAAATTACCAAATATTTTTTGAAAAACCTGATTTGGGTAAAGTTTAATGTGAAACTAAAAATGTGTTTAGACTTAAATTTTGGGGGTAGTTATGACTAAAAAAAAATCCCTTTTTTCAGCTAAATCATAATCTGGTCCAAAAAAAAAAAGAAGTCTTAAACTATATTTGGGATTTGAAGTTTTGGTTTCAAAATCTCCCAAAAACTAGATTAATTTCATAAACAAATATATTTGAAATTTTCTTTTGAAAAAAAACATCCAAAACGTATAACCAAGCGCCTAATTAAAGAATTGCAAGCGAGTTCACTGCATTCTTCTTTTTTTTTTTTTTTCCTTTCATAGTAAGGACTGTACAGAGCACCAAGAACTAAAATTGCTGTTTTTCTTTTTGCAGTATTTCACAGTACTCTTAACAGAAAGGATGCATTAAGCAGTGACCAAGTTTTTTTAGTAATGTTACAAAACTATGAGTTTTTATCCCGTTGGCAAAAACAAAACTAAACTCTTTAGCTCCTTATGTTACTTTCCATGTACTAATAAACTAAAAATTCCCCCAAAATTCCACTGTTTTTTCAAGTGGCTCCAACTCCAAGAAAATCAATGAAGTGCATAGTTTTGCTCTTCATTTGTTTTCCATTATCATAAATGTTAACATTAGTCATGTTGTTGGCTACTGACTCAGATGCAGAAATTTCTGAGTTTGTATCTGACTGATTACCACATCCACATTCATTACCTTCCTCTACACTCTTTGCAATTGGCTCCTCCTTTCCATACAACAATTTTGCACTTTCCATTTTCACCTCTTCATGTCTTGACATACCTACAAATTACACCACCACAAATACAACGAATGAACTTATCAGTTGAGTTTAACTTCTTACATTGCTATATATTACTATCTAGTATTAATTGCTATCTTGGCTTCGGTCTTCTTTTCATTTTACTTTGTTATTATCTATTGCCATTACTTCTTTAAAACATTTCTTTAGCCGAGGGTTATATCTTGTTGTTGTTACTATTTGTTGTCATTATTTCTTTTCATCATTTCTTTAGCCGAAGGTCTATCAGAAATATCATCTACCTCTTCCAGGGTAGGGGTAAGGTTGAATATACATCTTACCCTCTCTGGACCCAACTTGTGGGAATTCACTGGCCTTATTATTGTTGTTGTTGCAGCATTGCTCGTATTTTTAATAAATATTTATGTTATCATGTTACTGACAAAGTAGTTACATGTAAATTGTCATGATAAAAATGATAGCATGTTATTACGGATTAAACTATATTGATAGTATAAAATTTTTTATACTATAACTTGTAAAGAATTTTACATCATTTGTATATTTTAACTAATCGTAGCAAGTTAATTACTACTTATTTTCTAGGATACTAGAAAGTGGTTATCTATTGATATTTAAATGCAAGTCAAGATTACAATATAAACAGAAGGGAGGAATGAGTATACCTTTGTTTGATTCAAGAATTTCTTGGTGGTGACGCTGCTGCATAGGAGTAAATGTTGACATGAGAAAAGGAGGAATAATGACTTTAGAAGAAGATGGAGTGAGTGAAAGATGAGTGCAAGTTGAAGCTGATTGATGATCATCAATGTTGTTGTTGTTGCTAGAAATGGTTGAATCACTATTCAAATTAGAAGCAGAGACAATATGAGGGAAATTAATTTGTTGCAAATTTGAAGGCTTTCTTCTTCTATAGACACTGTTTTGTTCTCTGTGTTTTCTAGCCATTATGACATGCCAATGGTTCTTAACTGCATTGTCTGTCCTGCCAGGGAATAGCCTTGCAATCATTGACCATTTGTTTCCATACATTTTGTGTGCTATTAACAGTCTTTCCTCTTCTTCTTCTGAGAATGCCCTCCTGTTTATCCTTGGATCTAGTTGATTAAACCATCTCAATCTGCAGCTTTTTCCTACAACGAAACAGAATATAGACATTGTGAGTTCAACTCTGAGTTGAGAAGGTGAGATTCAGAGACATGTTCATAATTAGCCATATGTAGCATATAATCAACGTGTTCAACTGAATCTAGTGTTTCCATATAGATACAACAACAAGAATCTCACAAGTGGAATCCGGGGAGTATAGTGTGTACGCGAACCTTACCCCCTAGGGAGAGAGATTGTTTCATGTAAGATCAAATATAATAGAGAGATTGTTTCAGGTAGATCAAATTTTATCTATATATATATATCAAATATTAAATTTTACATTCATATTTTTAAAAGCATAACAGGTTGATTGACAAGAACCGAACCCATCAAAGTAAAATTCTGAATCGGTTGATAACTTTATGTTTTTTTTTTTTTTTTGGTATACATGTATATATATAGTTTGATTCTAAAAAAGTGAGTTCTTTTGAACCGACAAACTCAAGGTTGGATCCTCCACTGCCAAATATTTAGTTTTTGAATGTTAAAACTGTTTTTTCGCAATAAAATACCTTTTATTTTGTTGATTTCTATTCATACCACATGGACACTTCACTTAATCTATCCTCAAAAATACCTAACTCATCAAAAACTAAAACTAAAGATATAAAAGGGATGCACTAAGCTTCCGCTATGCGTGAGGTGTGGAAAAGGGTCAGATCACAACAGACTATTGAGGCTTTATTTTTGCAAGAGACTATTTTTATTGCTCGAACCTGTGACCTTCTGGTCGGTAACTAACTTTACCAGTTACGCCAAGGCTCCCCTAAAAAACTAAAGATACAAAAATTATTATAAGAAAAAAAAAAAAAAGAAATTACCTGATCTTCCTTGAAGCTTTTCAGCAATGAGATTCCAGTTCTGAGGACCAAATTGGGCAACAAGTTCTCTAAGTTTTGCATCTTCATGTGGTCTCCAATGTCCTCTTGCACATAGCTTTGTATTAATCTTCTTCATCCCCACTAAATCTACTTCCTCTTTTTCATCCTTCAACTTATTTGTTCCTCTCTCTTCTTCCATTTGGTTAAAAAGCCAAGGACTTTCTTTAACACAAGGGAGTAAAAGGTTCATTTCTTCAACTGCACAAGAAACAGCAGTACTATTCATGTGTTAAACACTCTCTCTTTTTTTCAAATTAAGCAGAAAAGATGGGGTAACCAAAGATTCAAGATGGGGTTTTTTCTACTTAAGAAAAAGAATTTCTTTTTTTTTTTTTTTGGGTTTTCCTCCTATAACTTCAGAGAGTGAAAATGGTAGAAACCAAGAAAAGATCAAGTTTTTATTAGAAAATCAGAGCACAAAAATGAGTAATCTCATTGTTTCATTAATAGAGAAGGAAAAAAGAGAAAAGAGAGAGGTTTAAATGTGAGATGATAGTCATATAAGGGAACAAAAAGAAAGAAGCGTAACGTTTAAAAGGGGAAGTGACGAGAGGAGCATGAAACAGAATCGTCTTTTCACTCTTTGCACAACTGAGTATATAGCACAAAGAACAAAACTAAACAAGAAATATATATAAAAAGATGATGGGAACTTACACGATTCTCTCATTTTTCTAGGAAACAAAATTTTCTTTTTTTCCCCCTCACTTTTTGCTTTAACCTACCCTATACTCGTTAACTCTATATATGAATCAAAGACTGTACCATTTTGTATCATAATTTCTTTGAATGGCTTTTTTAGAAAAAAATTAAATTTGCACTAGTCAAATTAGATTATGTAATCTGTAATCCAAAGCAATGTTTTAAAAGGCGGGGCGTGAGGCGAGGCATTTTACCTCTGACGAGGCGAGGCGTAAGCCCTGAGACATGGAGCGTAAGTCCCACGGATCTTTAAATTTTACTAATTTCAAGAATTTAAAAATAGTATAAAATAAAAAATAATTATAAAAATTATATTAAAATAACAAATAATATATTTAAAATATTTATAAAGTATAATTCAACTATGAATAATATAAAAAGTATAACATATATCATAATATGCAAATTAATTGTAACATCATTACAACTCAAACATCAAAAGTTATGTATTCGATACGAAATCTTATATGTATCTCTTAAGGAGTAATGAATCTTGAAAGAATTTCGATATTATAATTTGATACTTTTCTTAAATACTCCTTTTATTTAATATGCTTTCTATTTGAAAGAGAATTAATATAAAAACATAATTCACATTTTCAATATGATTCTCTAGCATCATTTATTTTTATGTTTCAACAAGTTAATAAAGTGACACATAATTCACCATACAATACCATGATAACTAATTATTTGTAAATAGTTACTAGCTAATACTGAGCTATTAAATTAATAAGTATTGTATCTCATAAACATGAAAAAAAATATTTAGAAAACTAATTATAAATAAATTATGGACTATTATATAGTAAAGACATAACAAAAGTTAATAAATAAATACTTTTTAAATGAAAGATTTATTTAAAATTAACTATCATAGCCGTCATAGTGGATAATGTGTAATAATTTTTTATTTTAATTATGACATAAAATACACTCAACTTAATGATTTATGATTAAGAAAAAAAGTAAGTTTGAATAGTCAACGATTTATTAAGAAAATTTGAGGATTACAAGGTTAGTTACATACAATTGCATAAAGTTCTATTAGGCGAGCCCAGTACGCTGGGCGTCGGGCGTGTCCAGGGCGTAAGCCCCGATGGCTGAGACGTAAGTCTCACGGAACTAAGCCCCACACATAAGCCCATGGGCGTTTTAAGAGTGCTCCGCTCCGGGGCGAGCCTCGGGCGAGTCCCAATTCTACCTTTTAAAACAGAGATCCAAAGGTTGTTTTAATATAAAACAATACATAGCTGTTTTACAGTTTTAAATATCCAATATTTTTGTTTTTTCAAATTAGTTATTTCACTTTGTAAGAAAATAAGATACTTTCAAAAGTTGTCTTTAATAAAAAAAACTCAGCTCATTGAAAAATAAGTTCTTTTAAAATAAATTTAGGCACGCCGTCAAGAAATATAGTGAAATGAATGAATAATTTTATTTGAAATCAAAAGATTCGAGTTCGAGCGCTTGTAAATAAAAAATTAGTATAGAACACTTGACTATTTAATTAGTCCTCACACGAAATAGGTCCCGATTAATTCAGACTAACTGATGTCAGTCAAATGGTTAAACAAAAAAAATCGTGACACGCGCTATTTAAATGAAAAAACCTATGGTTGGACCGTATCTCTAACCAAATGTTCATCGAAGAGTTAATACAACAGTAATAGAAAATTTACATGAAGGTAACTTTTGTTTAAATTATGTTAGTTTATTACTTTCGGTTGTAACAATAATTATTCCTCAAAGTAAAGTAGGGAATAAAATAAGTAAGATGATTAACAAGTCTAGAAATAAGTGTAGTGTGGTCGTGTGTACGTGGAAATCAAGAACCGCTCGTGTGGGTTGGCGAGAGTTCCATTAACACACTGTTGTACTTGGGTTTTGTGCCTTTTTCTGTAACTGCTCTCTCTCTCTCTCTTTTTCCCCTCTCGAATTTTCATAAAAACAGAATCTCCTTGTCTCTTTCTCTACTCTCTTCCCTCTTCTAGTTGTGCGCAGAGGCAAAGTTTATTCTCATTCAATAGTTATTTGTATTTTTATTCATAATGTATTAGTTTTTTTTAATATTTAATTTGTAAAATTTACATATATTTTGAGTATATAAATAATTTTCTTATCTTGTATATGTAATATTTAAAAAAAATAATTTTTGGATAATTTTGTTTATAACAGCCAACGTATATTTAAACGCCAAATGTTATTATAGGTGTATAACATCCATTCACTATAAAAACCAAAAAATATCGAAACAAACGATGTTTTTATAGAGTGGTTTGACTGTAATATTACTAGTATGGAAGAAACATACGCTTGACTATCAACTAACATTCTATCTTAATACTCGTCATCCACACCCTCCTATCAAGGGTCATGATGTCCTCTTTAAGTTGAAGATGAGTCATGTCTTGCCTAATCACTTCTCTCCAATAATTATTCGGCCTACTTCTACTTCTCTATAGACCCACCATAGTCAATCTCTCACATCCTCCTCACAGGGGCATCTATGCATCTCCTTTTCACATGTTTGAACCATCCGAGCCTCACTTTGCACGTCTTAGCCACTACGGAGGCCACTCCGACCATGCTCTCAATATCTTTATTCCTAGCCATGTATATCTCTCCTAGTATGCACATTCATCCATCTTAGCATCCTTATTTCTGCTACTCTCATTTATGGATGTAAGAGTTTTTGATTGGCCAACACTTAACCCCATATAGCATAGTAGTCTAACAACCACTTTGTAAAACTTGCCTTTAAGAGTGATTATTATAACGACCCAACCGGCCATTTTACTTTCTAGGATCTCGTTACCCTAAATAAGACTCCCCATACATTCTTTTACTATTTTATGACTTGCGGGGATGGTTAGTTCGGGACTTGAAAGGGTTCGGATTGAAATCGGGACATTTAGTTCCTTAAGTTTGGTAAAAAGGGCTAAGTTTGACTTTGGTCAACGTTTTGAGTAAACGACATCAGAATCGGTATTTGACGGTTCCAATACGTTCGTATGATGATTTCGAACTTGAGTGTATGCTCGGATCGGATTTAGGATGACCGGGGAACGTTTCGGCGCCTAATATTGAAAGTTGGCATTTTTGGGTAAATTCCTTAAGTTTGAGCCAAAGTGGATTTTTGCATTGTTGACGTCTGTTTGGGATTCCGAGCCTGGGAATAGCTTCCTATGATGATTCTGGTCTTAGGAGCGCTTCCGGATATGAATTTGGAGGTCCGTAGGACATTTCGGGGTCATTTGGCGAAAACTAGAAATTTGGAAGTTTTGAGAAGTTTGACCGGGAGTGAACTTTTTGATATCAGGCTCGGATTCTGATTCCGAAAGTTGGAGTAGGTCCGCAATGACATTTGCACGCAATATTTGGCATCATTCTGAGTAGTTTAAATATATTTCAGCGCATTCGGAGTAAGTTAAAGAAACTTGAAATTAAAAGTTTGATTCAATTAGTTTTGGGGTGTGATTCTTAGTTTTGATGTTGTTTCGGGCATTCCGAGAGTTCGATCGAGTTCGTTTTACTATTTCAAACTTGTTGGTGCATTCGGGGTCTCCGGGGGTCCCGAGTGTTAAACGAACGAGGCTCGGACCAAGTTCGGACTTTGGAGAACAGTTGAAGCTTTCAGCTTCTGGTGCAATCGCACCTGCGCTTGGACAATCGCAGGTGCGATCCAAGAGCCGCAGAAGCGAACCAGTGAGGGCAGCCCAGCATCCGCAAGTGCAGAAGTTTTGGCGCTGCGCGAAAACAGTAACCGCAGCGACAGAGGTCACGCAGGCGCGAAGGATTTGTTGCAACCACGGACGCGCAGAAGCGGGCCTTTTGTCCATATGTGCAAAGCTTGCACAGTTAAGGAAAATGCGCACCTGTGAGGATTTTTCCGTAGGTGCGGAACCGCCGGTGCGGGAAAGGCTTCGTGGGAGCGGGAAACGCTGGGTAGTGAGTGTTTAAGTCAGGGGTTTGAGCATTTTGCTCATTTCTTCTTTCTTGGATGATTTTTGGAGCTTCTTGAGAGGAAAATTTACCTAGCAACTTGGAGGTAAGTTAATTCTACCTATTGTAAGTTAAATACATAGTTTAAGGGAAGATTATAACATGAAAATTGGTAGAAATTGTGGGTTTTGATGAAAATACCTAGGTTTTGAAAAAAAGGAATTTAACCACGAAATTTGTTATGAAATTTGGTAGAAATTACATATTTGAGTTCGTGGAGCTATGGGTAACGATTTTCCTCGAAAATTTTCGGAATCCGAGCACGTGGGCCCGGTGGCTGGTTTTAAGAATCTTGTAATTTGGGTAGAGTAATTGTTTAAATGGATAAATTATGAACTTTCGAGCATGTATTGATTTATTTGTATCACAATTGACTAGTTTCGGAATTTTTCACACCAAATTGAGGCTTTAGAGTGGAACCTTAGCCGGAAAGTGAGCTTTGAGACAAGGTAAGTCTCTTTTCTAACCTTGTAAGAGGGAACTCATCCCCCTAGGTGTATTTTACTATAAGAATTATTATATGTAGGGAGCTACGTACGTACTAGGTGACGAGAGTTCGTGCGTAGCTATATTTCATATGAAGTCCGGATAGTCTTAGGATTCACATCATGCTTTGTTGCTATCGTTGCTTTATTATGTTAATTAATTGTCTAGAAAATGTTAGAGGTTGAGGATTTTAAGATTTAAGCTTTTAATTAGCCTCTTTATGTTATGGAAAGAACCGAGGAATTATTAATGACTTGAAAATTTATATTTATTCGCGCCGCAAATATTTCCGCGGGCGAGGTACAAATTCCACTACTCTCATGGGAGCGGGTCGTTCTCCTTGGCAGGTTAATAGATGCATCTATGGTTCGTGCCGTTCGACCCTCGGCAGTGCACACAGTTATGTA